TACTCCAGAACATAATTTTATTCAGTAGCTGCATCTGTGACAGAGCCAGGGTGTTTCTTATCCTGTAAAAAAGCCTTTTCTGTAAGTTTAGCATGTGGAGAAATAGACTGAATAATGTGACAGAAAACAACAAAAATGCTTGAAGGCACAGATATGACCACAGAAATGCTACTGTGATCGATTTATTTCTGTTAGGGAATTACTCCCAATTTTATCTCCCCCCAAAATTCACCAATTACAGAGATATGAAGTGTGCTGCGTTATACATCCTCTTAGAATAGTGCAGCTGAGTTTGCAGTTCTATAACATATACATACAGGCGAGTCTTTAAGTCTATGTACTGCATAATGCTATCTGGCCACCTCCTTCTTTGGCAGAAGCTGGAATTTGTGCTTTAATTTAAGATAAAATGTTTTTATCCAGCTGAAGTTCAACTAATGGCACAGGAACTGAACTATGTCTGTATTCATGTGTAATTCTAGAGTCATTACAGTCTAGTGTGGCAGTGGTCTAGCTTTTCTACAGCACTGTAGAGAAAGAATAATGCAAGATGGGCACTTTCATAATTCAAGTTCAATGGAATGTATTATAATTTATATATTTAAAACACAGAGTGGTTTGCTTACAGTAACATAGAGTGTAATAAAAGGTTTGTGCTCCCTAAGAAACAGTGTCCGAGAAAACTTACCTTCAACACCACTTCAGTGATATTTATTCTAGTACATTCCAGTGTAAAAAAAGTATTTGCAACAGAACAACGCTAGTGCTTAGTTCTCATTGGTGTAACTGAATTTTGAGTCTCTCATTTGGCACACTGTGTACAATATAACCTTTCAATCTCCTTGCTCCCTTAGTAACAGCCATTATCCCTCATCTTGTCTTTCTCCACTTCAGAATAAGGTCATTCTGACATGTAGGTCTAACAAGAAATACAATGTATTTCCATTGATTTGTATTGTCACTGATTACTCATTTGTGTTATATTGTGATCTGTGTAGTAAAGGACATTTTATGTTGTCATGCAAAGCCAGTCTTCAGGAACAGATTCTGCACCCTAGGCTCCCTCAGTTTATTTATAAGGTCTTGCTTTTTAGACATGGAACTTTCTGACAATAGTCTTGAAAATATTTACCATTGTTAATCGATCACTAGAACTGAGTATTTGGGACTAGTATAGAATTTTTTTCACAGTTTTTCCCCAGAGACTTCTGCTTTTTCATAGTCTTGTTTGGAGATTGGATCCACCAGGCTAAGGAAATGAGAGTGTTTTGTCATTAGAAATAATTCAGTTTAATTTACAACAGAATATTGTAAACTCATTCCATCCTGGTAGGACAGTGACTGCTAGAGAATCTATAGAAATGTGTAAGCAGACCACCATGAGCAGTTTTACTGTGCTTTTACTGCAAAAATAGTCACTTGGAAGAGACTCATGAAGTGGAAAATAGCTACTGAGTGTCATTCCTTGACTTTTCTTTTTCCATGTTCATTTTTTCACTGATTCTGACTTGCTACATCCTCTGAAAAGAGACTGAATTCCACTTCTAAGGTGGGGCACTAAGACGAAATGAATGATTACCTCCCACCCAATTTCTTTTACATGTGTTTGGAATGATGCATATCTCAGATTTTCTCAGGGTATGCTAGATACCCATGTCCATAGAGGCATTTTTGCTAGAGATTAGTTCTTATAGTTGTGTTAAGTAACAAGAAAGTGTATGTAGTGCAATCTGAAAACGCACACTGAAAATAAGCTAGAAGATAACACAAGTAGGTTGTCTGTATTTGATTAGCAATTAATAAAGTTGCTAATTTATTCTGCCAGAACACTGCAAAACTAGTCCTTCATTCCCATTTAAGGTTTTAGGTTGAAAATAAACTGACATAGATTTATTGCATATCTGAACTGTGCACTATTTTCTGGATTTTGCCTTGTGCCTCTTAGTTCAGCTTCTGCAGAATGTAGGTTTTTGAGACTTAAACTAATCAATAGCTACTCGAGGTCTTCAAAGCCTGTTTGGATTTGCAGTTGATGTCAGTAGAGCAGGGACAAAAAAATGCTTAAGTACAACAGTGAGATAGATGAATTCATACAGAAAAGAAATCAGAGAGATCCATCTGAAACTTTATGCTGCCTGAGTTTGAGTTGTTGTAAGTATTTGCAATCGTTGAAGACAGAAATTGAGTTTAAAACCAAAAATATTTGATTTATAGAGGGATCATATTTCTGAGGTACAAAAATTGAGACACAGTTGCTTGTATTCAGGATTCATAGTGTTTGATGTTGATGGAGTTCATAATCCTCGATACAAGAGGCCCTTATAGCTATGAGGAAGAAAAAGCGGATTCTTATTCATCCCTTTCCATATATTTACTTATTCTTTCCATCCTGTTTTTCCTTTCCCTCACTATTCTATTTCATCTTCCTTTTTCTTCCTCCATTTTCCATATACATTAAGGATTTGACTATTTACAAATATTTTTTACAACTGAACAGAGAAGGAAAGATCTGTGAAAAGTTGCTTTCTTTATTTTTCCCATTTCTTATTATAAAAGGAAATTGTAGTGAAGGGAATTAGAAGATGCCAAAAAAAAAGTGTATCTCAAGTATTTGTATAGTCATATATTTGAGAAGTGACATGTGTTCGTATAGTTCATAGATTTAATTCATATATGTGAGGTTCCACATTTTAGGCTGCATGTGAATTTCCTCATTTTGGAGTACTGGAACAGGAGGGAAGGAGGGAGTTGTATGGGTATCTTCAACAATAGCCAAAAAACCCAACCAAAATAAACCCCCTAACCCCCATCTGAAACCCCACCCAAAACCTATAGGGGAAAAGGAAGTATTACTTATCATGATTTCCAAACCAGTCCTGAAAATCAGGGAAATTATTTGCTTAAAGTTTTCCGCAGGCTTTCACTGGTAGGTGAGGCTTAAATCTAGGCTTAAAACAATCATGGAATATTTTAATTGATAATGTAATTGTTCTTGAAAGTTACAGGTCACTCACAACAGGGATTTAGACTGAAATTATAATTTCAACTGTAACTGAAATAAAAACAACAGGTGAATAACTGCTTTCTGGTAAGAAGAAATTAAAAGAACAAATGTATAGCCTTATGTGGACAATACAAAATACTCAACTGGAAGATTATTCTTACTGATGAAGAATCCTTCCAAAAAAGAAATCTGATCAAGATACGCTGTGGAAGGGCGTTGTTTATCAGTTCAAAGAAAAGTGTACTTGGGGGTGGAAGAGGAACAGGAAGGTGATGATGTTTGTTTATTTGCTGGTTTTGCTCATTTCTGAATTTTATAAACAGCGATTTTATTTATAGTGTCAGAATGAACACGTTTTATAGCTCTCTCAACCCTCCATGTTTTACTCTAACTGGACAGTCCCAACTAGTTAGTCTTGTATTTGAGTAAAGTTTCTTCATTGGTAAACTTGTGTGGTTTAATTTTCCACTGTTTTAGACTAAGTATGAAGGCCTTGTGTTTCATTTATTAGCACACTAGAAGACCTGCACAGAAGACTTGGAATCTTGTGTCTCTTTGGAAAATTGCTAGTATTTTTTAATGGTTTTTTTTAATTTCTCAAAAACATATTGAGCTTTACTGTGAAACATAACAAATCTTACCATAAGAGGCAACTGGGAGAGGAAGCTGTGTTTGAAAGAGAAATGTTAAGAAGTAATGGAGTTTTCCAAATCAGCTACGTTATTACTCAGCAAAAATTGCACCAAGGCAAGACATAAGCAAATATACGTAACAGTTGTTACCACAAGCTTGGGAAGACTTTCCAATGTTCCTTCAGACTTTCCTTACTGACATTCTTCAGTGCCTATTTCTTTCCCTCACTTGCATTTCTCCTGGATTTTGCAGAATCCCCTTCTCCTCTCTAGCCCTTTCACTCCTTTCTCTGTGTGGCTGCCGTTGTTCCACAGATGGGCAACTGCTGGACTGTCAACAGCCAAGCAAACTCTCCACGGCCCTGCCTTCTGCCATAGAAAATGCAAGAGATTCCTTATACGAAATTCCCTCCGTGCTTGTTTCATTTACTTGCCATGGCACCAGATAGTTAAGCAGGTGTTCTCCTCCTAATGAAAAATGAGAGTATGTAGTTACACAGAAGTAGCAGTTTTTGTAGCATTATCAGAATTTGTAATACGTTTTTCTTTCAGTGAAGCATATTAAAAGAAAACAATAACATAATGGTCCCGAAGTGCTTTTGAACTTACTGTGCCCTTTGTTCTTTGTCCTGTTCCTAGGGGCAAGTGTGGCAAACAGCAGGTTTCATCCTTTTATCATCTGGTTCTCTAAGCCTCAGAATCAAACTGATCACCACAGCTGCAATAAATAAAGTGTCTTATAAGTTATGATGCCAAATATTATTCAACATTCTTCTGGTCAGGCACAGAGTCTGATGGAAAACAGCACATCTCACTTAGTGCCGTCTCCCTTACAATTAAAATTGCTGAGTAATCAGTGAATGACAGATATGGGAAAGCAGAATGTGAATAATATCAATTTTCTTGGTTTTGTTTACACTTACTATTTAAAAAAACCCTTACCTATGGCAATATGGCTTTCATTAACTATGAAGCATAGGCAATGTGTTAACATCAGTCTTGAAGCCAGTAAGAAATGTCATTTTATTTATCTACCTGTTATGTCCTCGTATGTGATTTCTAATATATTTTTTTATTCAGTTCCAGACAATTTTGTGCAACATTTGATTGGATATACATTATACAGAGTATATAGCACATTCCCTGATAGAAAGCTAAATAGTTCACTTCTAGCATTTGGGAATACTCTTTTCTCTACTTAACAGTTCAGCCTTTTTGACTGTCATGCAAGCAGGAAGATGATGGTGGGAATCATTTGGAGAGAGTTGTTGCAGTCCCAAAGTGTTTGGTTTAAATGCATTCTTTCTGATTTTTATTTTTTTTAAAGTTCTGTTGTGTTTTTTCTCTTTGTTTTCTCTTTCTAGGCTGAGGTTCAGCTATGCTATCTGGAAGCACAAAGAGACGCTGTTGAACAGATGTCCTTAAAGCTGTACAGTGAGCAGTACAACAGTAGTAGCAAGCGAAAGGAAGAGTTTGCTGATATGTCAAAAGTTCACACAGTGGGAAGTAATGGGTAGGGAACTATTCTTTTTGTTGTTTTATTCTCACTGATCTGTATTTTTTTTAACATGATATACTTTTTCTTACTTCTAGTTAACCAGGATTTTTCTTCCTAGGCCAGGAGGCAGGGGAAAACTCTATATATTGACTCTTCATATATGAATGCAAAAAATAATGGCTTCTGGAAAAATTATCCAGATTGTGATTTGTTCATAGGACTACCTACCATTATCTCATAGCAATTTATTATTTTGATTTAAAAAAATATAACATCTCCTTTTTCTTCAGGCTTTTCTTCTCCAATTGCTTAATAACTTCTGATTTCTTAGCATCTTCCAAGGAAGAATTTTTATAATTATTAATACTTCTGCAAGATGATTGTATATAATCATTATTCTATCAGTGACTAGGAAATATGAATGTGAAGCATTTTGCTTGCAGTTCACAGTTAAAACATCCCAGTTTTGTACTTCTAGAAAGCTTTAATTTTAACTGCTTTCCCTTTACTTGATCTTCTCAGTCTGTTTTTTATTAAAGGTAAACACACATACTCACACAGAC